CTTTCTTCTATCCTGTGATGTATAAACGTGACTCTCACCAGTGACGCCCAGTGGACGGATGGTGTATTCGTTGAGAGTGAAGCCCTTCTCCAGCGCGCGAGTCCTCATGTTCTTGTTGAATATGTCACTGCCAGTGAAGTACAGCACACCGCAGTAATACTGATCCTTCGGAATAAGCCTGCAGATCCAGAGAGAAAGACATGAGGAATATACTGGAAAAACCTCAAATATGACATTTGCCACAGGGACACACTATGCTAAAACTCGAGACACTTTCATCTACAGATGGCAGGAATCATTGTGGATTCTAGATTTTAGCTTAGTTAAATTAGGTTTCAGATTAGTCAATTGTATAATTTACATTTTGGTGCATTTAAAAATGTAATCTATTTTAAATTGTTGGTTTATTTAGTACTGCGTTTCATTCAAAATAATTCAGTGTTTTTAATGACATCTGCGATTAAGAACCCATAATAATGCTGAATCTTCAAAAAAACAATAAAATAATGTTCATAGTACATAACGTAAATTTTTAACATTCTACGAAGTCTTCAAATTAAACTGGACGCAAGATATGAATAAAACAATTGACAGTCACATCAAAATGTCCCAAATAGCGTCTGTTAAGAAGATCGTTAGTTAAGAAGATTTTTTTTATTTCAGCTAGTTGCCAAGGCAACATTTCTCATTTTTGTTTAGTTTAACTTTAAGAATTAAAATAAACACCTACATAGACATTTTTAAAAAATCTAAAATTAATAATAATTTTTTTTTTTACAAAAAAACAACAATGACTGAAACCTTAACTAAAAATAAAAAATAAAATAAAACACAAAAATAAAAACGAATTATTTACTAATTATTTATCTAGAATATTAATAGTATATAAATTATACTAAACACTGGAAAAGATCACATCACATCAAATGCACAAATAATCAGCATGAACCTGATGTCAATACGGCGGGGAAAATACTCTTCTTCATCTTCCTCTTTTTTCTTCAGCCGACACACACCCTGAGGAAAAACATGCCTTATTTATTATTCATTTATTATTATTTGACAGTCACATTGACCCACCATAAACTTAGTGTCTCCTTTAGAAAGCGTGTCAGTAATGAAGCCGATGGACTCCAGATGATCCACGACAGCATGAAGGAGTTTGGGCTGCAGGACAGAAATCACAGCAGGAGTTATGAGAGGACAAAAACCTGCATGCATTAAATCATTCAGTCTTTAAAACTGAACGTTCACCTGTTTCTCAGACTGAGAGGTGAAGTCCGGATGGGTCAGCAGTATATCAATATCACCACTCGACTCTGCTCCTGAGCATTAACAAATGCATTTATGACACATTTAGTTGATACAAGTGATAACTGACGTCAAATACCTGGATCAGAACGATCGATAACCTCGTCTGTAGCTGCCAAAGATGGTGCCGATGTACTCGGGATCCACCACATCCAGTTCCTTCAGTATCAGAGTCTGCAAACATCAGTTAAACACAGTGAGACTTTATAAATCTGTAGAATTAATTCATGAAGATCACTGAGAGAAACTGCAACCTCCATTTTCTGCATTTCTGCACGAGGGATTCTCTTCTCAAATTCTTCAAAGTACCTTTAATAGATGAAGACAGGAGCATAAAAATATCAATTAAAAACAGATCAATAAAGAACAGAATGCATTCATTATAAACACATATAACTCACAAATCAAACATTTGTCCTCTAGATCAGGGGTTTTCAAGCTGGAGTCCAAGGAAAAGATTAGAGAAAAATTTAAAAATATATAAACACTTAAAAAAAAAAATAAAGGTTTGCCCAACTAAATAAATAAATATTTAGATTAAAATATATTTAAAATTAGTTTTAAAAATGACTAAAGTAATTAATTTGATACAAAATAAAAATAAAAGTTAAAGGGGTCATATGATGCTTTTTTAAAGATCATATTTTGTGTATTTGGTGTAACAGAATATGTTGACATGCTTTAATGTTCAAAAAACACATTATTTTTCAAATACTGTACATTATTGTAGGTCCTATATGCCCCGCCTCTCTCAAACACAGTTTTCAACAAAGTCCCTCCTTCCGACAAGTTTATATAAATACATAATAAATTATTTAAATAAAACAAAAATACAGTACTATAGTAAATAGAACAAATTTAACATAATAGAAACTAAATGCGTTTTAAATAACATTTTACACAAATTTATAATATACATTTTTTCACAGTCTTTATGCATAATAAAGCTGCCATTTAAATTTTAGGATGGGGGTCCCTTGCACGAGGATGTTTATATTTAGGAGGCCATTGCATCTAAAAGATTGAAAACCCCTGTTCTGGATCAGCACTAACACAAAGCCGAACGAACATTACTGTTGCTGTTAAACAATTCACTAATTAATCTGTTTAAATCAAGACTTACTTTAACCCGATCTGCTGATGGTGGTTGAGTTTGTGTTCGATCTTCTTCAGATCTAAAACGTCAGATGAGAATTAAAACACATGAATGTGAAGGTAAATAAATATATATGCAAAATAACCATATACAAACCTTCTAAGTTCCTGACGCCTTCATCATAAAACTTCCTGGCCGCAGCAGGACTAAAAGACAGAGAATGAGGGTGAATGGAGTTTTAGTCATCTCTAATTATTTACTGTGATTGTTCAATAAAGAGCGTGGTACCCGATTCCAGTCACTCTGGTTAAGAAGTTGATGGAGGAGCTTGTGTCGTCACTGCGAATCTACAGGATGAACGGACCACAAACATGTCAGAATCTATACAGATCTGTTTTGAATATACAACATACATGATTTCAAATCACCTATAAAGCATGCATTTCTACCTTCTCCAGCTTGCGCAGTTTTCCTGTCGTTAAAAACTCATTGATTTTCTCTGCTATCTTGCCACCAACTCCATCCTGAGAGGAAAACCGTGTACTTAAATATGTCAACAAACAAGTATTACTCGCATTTCAGGACATTAATACTAGTAAAAACAACAAACCCGTACCAGTTTCTTTGCTTCGGCCCCACTTTTGATCTTCTGAGGGTATTTGGCAATCACAGATGCTGCTTTTCTGAACAGAAAACGCCAGACAAGTTACATATGCCATATGTCTAATTATAGTATAATTTCTTACCTTATTAGACAAGTTAGATAAGACTGTCTTGCCTGTAAGCATTGTATTTATGGATGGCTCTGTTGATATTTCTCTCATAATTGGCCAACTCTGAAACGAGAAACACCATTAAGACTAAGAGTTTAGATATGCCTCAGTGCATTAGCTGCAAAATATTACTATAAAATGCTTTTCGACATTTATCGAATAAACAAACTAATCAAGAGAATCGGATCATAGCTGGGCTACCAAACAATATGTACTAAACGTAAACGTATATAAAAATATCTAGTATAAAATAATTTTCAAATATGCATTAATTTATTTATAATTGAAAATATAAACACTGAGTACTTTTATTTTGTAGATGCAACTGTGCCGATAGCATGTATTAAACTGCAAAAAATTGTGATTATTGCGGTTTTATTTACAATTGGGTGTAAAGATAGGTCTAATATCCCACTAAAGTGAAGTTTCTTGTTTCAAACAGACGTTATGTCTACAAAACCGATGTATTTCGATTCATTTGGCATTTAAATGTCCGGTTAGCCTAGCCGCATGCTAACCCGAGCTGTCATTAGCAAAACTCACCTATGAGAAAATCTGTGATTCCTTCGTTCCGAGTTTCCTGTGGCGCTTTCCTTTTACTCATAGTTGAGAGTGATTTAAAATACGTGAGGATAAATGTGTGTTGTTCTCACTTTCTACCATCCAAGAGACAACAGCTGAGTACACTGACTAGGACAAAGCCTTAGCATTAGCACTGTAGCCACGCAATACGGCGGAGGTGGGGCTTATAGACCACGCCCATTAGGCTTACGTTAGCCAATCAGGGACTTTCATTTCATAAATACGAACACGCCCCGTCGTTGATAAATACACTCACCATAAAATGAACTTTTGGAAGCTCAAATTACGCAAATTTCTTAATGTTACGTAAACATATGGATTTTTCATAAAGAAAATGCCACTTTTCAAGCAAAATATCTAATCAAGGTATTAAATGATCAAACAACATATCTGAACTAATTTCATACACTAATTTCAATCATTTCATACACTGCCACACCAGCTGATCAAATGACAATAAGCTAAATTATTTTTACTTTTATATGCCACAATAATGCAATGCTTTTAGGTGTGTTGCAAACATATTTTTGGGCCACTTTATGGAACTTAATTAACATGATAAAACAAACACTGTGAATTTATTTTTCTGAGTTTTTGTGGTTGGTGCAGATAGTTGCGATTGTGTGAAGAGCCGATCAAAGCAGCACAGCTTGTGTAATGTGATCTGACATTTAAAACGAGCACCACTTTTTAGTACTGCAATACTAAAATTCATTTCAATGACACATCAAAACTATTATACATAAAGATTTGCTAATAATTTGATTCATTTGAAGGTCAGCACCTTGGCATAGCAGACAATTGTTACTGTACATGGCAGCAGAAATACTTTCTAGAAAATCTAGAAGTACAAATTCCCTAATTTACAGACAATTCTGAACTTTTAAACAAATCCACCAAATACTATAGGAACCCATTTCTGCTACATAAGAAAAAACATACTTTGGTAAATCATAATTATGACATGAAATTTCATAATTATAAAATAAAAAGTCATAATACTGAGATAAAGTCAAAAGTGTGACATGCTAAGTCATAATTGTGAGATAAAAGTCAATTATGAGATAAAGACATAATTATGACAAGTTGAAATTGTGACAAAAAGTCAAAATGATAATTAAAATGTCAACTTATGTCATTATTTTGAATTTTATCTAATAATTATGACTCAGTGTGTCATAATTTAGACCTTTTTCTCATAAATTTTACTTTTCATCTCATAATTATGATTTTTTAATCTCATGATTATCTAACCAAAGCATGACTACAGAATATAATTAGCAAAAAATAAATCAATGATCTCTGCCACTAATATGCATCATATTTAGTCACAAATCTCTTTATAGTGTCAAGCGTTCAAATGCAGTAAACTCAGGAAATGAAAAATCATCTGCTGCTAACTAATAAATACATAAATACAGAAGAAACAGCCTGATATGAATGTGGTGTTTAAGAGTCGACTTTCACATAGACTTTGTCCCGTGAGAAGATTTTGACGGCCTCCTCGACCTCCGAGAGACGCTGGTCGAGTTGAGCGCGTCGAGAGCGGACGCTCAGTGTGTCGGCTTTGATGGGGAGAGACAGCAGCTCACTGACCAGAGACCTGTGAGCTACAGACACACACAGAAATCAATCAATCCTCTCACAAACTAAAGGTGAAAACAGACACCGCTAATGAAGACGTACTTTCTTTGAGGGACCTCAGGGTCTCTTGTCTCTCTCTTTCAGACATCTGAGTGTGTCCAGCAGGAATGGACGGATCAGGAGTGTTTCTCCTCTTCTCCTCCTCCTCCTTTTTCCACTGCAACTTCCTCTGCTCCAGACTGATGAACCAAATGAGAGAAGAAGGTCAATGTTTAGTCCAAAATGATGCACTGATGCAGTATGCAGAATACATGGGAAGCAGTAGAAATAAACATGTAAAACAGTGCAAATTCTATTTTGCATTAAGAAAATGTACTGCCTTTATACTGATTTTAATAAACAAATATTCAAAATGCATTATTACTACAGTAATGACAGTAATGAGAATAAAAAAAACAAACAAACTTCAAGATTATATACTAACATTCAAAAGTTTGGGGTCCGTAAGAAAGAAAAAAATACTTTTATTCAGCAAGGACGCATTAAATTGATCAAAAGTGACATTAAAGACATTTGTAATGCTACAAAAGATTTCTGTTTCAAATTAATGCTGTTCTTTTGAACTTTCTGTTCATCAAAGCATCCTTTGTATCCTGGTTTCCACAAAAATATTCAGCAGCACAACTGTTTTCAACATTGATAATAATCAGAAATGTTTCTTGAGCAACAAATCAGCATATTAGAATGATTTCTGAAGATCATGTGACACTGAAGACTGGAGTAAAGATGCTGAAAATTCAGCTTTGATCACAGGAATGAAGTACATTTGAATATATATTACAATAGAAAACAGTTTTTTAAATTGTAATTATAATATTTCATTGTTTTTACTGTAGTTTTGATCGAATAAATGCAGCCTTTGTGAGCAATAGAGACTTCTTTTAAAATCACTGCAAAATCCCACAGATCCCATTGCTAGTTTAAATCAATGACTCACTATTGTGGCACTTTGCCCTTCACGGCGCTGGGTGGTGGTTTGTCTCGGAGGTTCTGTAAGGACTGAGATCTCCTCAGGTTCGTCTTCCCTGCAGCACGAGCGTTATGACTCACAAAGTCCACCGTGTGTCCTCTCACATGTATCTATACACACATAAACACCTCACAATGAGAGAGACGCTACTCTTACGAAAGACAGAGGACTAATGTCTATTTTATGTATATAAGTATATTACACACCTCAGAATCTGAGTCTTCTGCAGCTGGTGGCGGCCTGCTCTCTGAGCGGCAGAGCAGCGGTCGACCTCCAGTGCCACACAAAGAGTGAGCCTTCAGGAAGTTCTGACATTCGGGTTTCTTAGGAGGGCCCGTCTCCTACACAGAGACAGAGGTTTAAATCCCTTGTTTTAATGCAATTGTTGATTGACAGGTAAGTAGGCGGTGCATCACTATTGTTGATTGACAGGTAAGTAGGAGGTGCTTCACTTTTGTAGACTGACAGGTAAGTAGGAGGCGCTTCACTATTGTTGATTGACAGGTAAGTAGGCGGCGCTTCTCTATTGTTGATTGACAGGTAAGTAGGCGGCGCTTCTCTATTGTTGATTGACAGGTAAGTAGGCGGCGCTTCTCTATTGTTGATTGACAGGTAAGTAGGCGGCGCTTCTCTATTGTTGATTGACAGGTAAGTAGGCGGCGCTTCTCTATTGTTGATTGACAGGTAAGTAGGCGGCGCTTCTCTATTGTTGATTGACAGGTAAGTAGGCGGCGCTTCTCTATTGTTGATTGACAGGTAAGTAGGCGGCGCTTCTCTATTGTTGATTGACAGGTAAGTAGGCGGCGCTTCTCTATTGTTGATTGACAGGTAAGTAGGCGGCGCTTCTCTATTGTTGATTGACAGGTAAGTAGGCGGCGCTTCTCTATTGTTGATTGACAGGTAAGTAGGCGGCGCTTCTCTATTGTTGATTGACAGGTAAGTAGGCGGCGCTTCTCTATTGTTGATTGACAGGTAAGTAGGCGGCGCTTCTCTATTGTTGATTGACAGGTAAGTAGGCGGCGCTTCTCTATTGTTGATTGACAGGTAAGTAGGCGGCGCTTCTCTATTGTTGATTGACAGGTAAGTAGGCGGCGCTTCTCTATTGTTGATTGACAGGTAAGTAGGCGGCGCTTCTCTATTGTTGATTGACAGGTAAGTAGGCGGCGCTTCTCTATTGTTGATTGACAGGTAAGTAGGCGGCGCTTCTCTATTGTTGATTGACAGGTAAGTAGGCGGCGCTTCTCTATTGTTGATTGACAGGTAAGTAGGCGGCGCTTCTCTATTGTTGATTGACAGGTAAGTAGGCGGCGCTTCTCTATTGTTGATTGACAGGTAAGTAGGCGGCGCTTCTCTATTGTTGATTGACAGGTAAGTAGGCGGCGCTTCTCTATTGTTGATTGACAGGTAAGTAGGCGGCGCTTCTCTATTGTTGATTGACAGGTAAGTAGGCGGCGCTTCTCTATTGTTGATTGACAGGTAAGTAGGCGGCGCTTCTCTATTGTTGATTGACAGGTAAGTAGGCGGCGCTTCTCTATTGTTGATTGACAGGTAAGTAGGCGGCGCTTCTCTATTGTTGATTGACAGGTAAGTAGGCGGCGCTTCTCTATTGTTGATTGACAGGTAAGTAGGCGGCGCTTCTCTATTGTTGATTGACAGGTAAGTAGGCGGCGCTTCTCTATTGTTGATTGACAGGTAAGTAGGCGGCGCTTCTCTATTGTTGATTGACAGGTAAGTAGGCGGCGCTTCTCTATTGTTGATTGACAGGTAAGTAGGCGGCGCTTCTCTATTGTTGATTGACAGGTAAGTAGGCGGCGCTTCTCTATTGTTGATTGACAGGTAAGTAGGCGGCGCTTCTCTATTGTTGATTGACAGGTAAGTAGGCGGCGCTTCTCTATTGTTGATTGACAGGTAAGTAGGCGGCGCTTCTCTATTGTTGATTGACAGGTAAGTAGGCGGCGCTTCTCTATTGTTGATTGACAGGTAAGTAGGCGGCGCTTCTCTATTGTTGATTGACAGGTAAGTAGGCGGCGCTTCTCTATTGTTGATTGACAGGTAAGTAGGCGGCGCTTCTCTATTGTTGATTGACAGGTAAGTAGGCGGCGCTTCTCTATTGTTGATTGACAGGTAAGTAGGCGGCGCTTCTCTATTGTTGATTGACAGGTAAGTAGGCGGCGCTTCTCTATTGTTGATTGACAGGTAAGTAGGCGGCGCTTCTCTATTGTTGATTGACAGGTAAGTAGGCGGCGCTTCTCTATTGTTGATTGACAGGTAAGTAGGCGGCGCTTCTCTATTGTTGATTGACAGGTAAGTAGGCGGCGCTTCTCTATTGTTGATTGACAGGTAAGTAGGCGGCGCTTCTCTATTGTTGATTGACAGGTAAGTAGGCGGCGCTTCTCTATTGTTGATTGACAGGTAAGTAGGCGGCGCTTCTCTATTGTTGATTGACAGGTAAGTAGGCGGCGCTTCTCTATTGTTGATTGACAGGTAAGTAGGCGGCGCTTCTCTATTGTTGATTGACAGGTAAGTAGGCGGCGCTTCTCTATTGTTGATTGACAGGTAAGTAGGCGGCGCTTCTCTATTGTTGATTGACAGGTAAGTAGGCGGCGCTTCTCTATTGTTGATTGACAGGTAAGTAGGCGGCGCTTCTCTATTGTTGATTGACAGGTAAGTAGGCGGCGCTTCTCTATTGTTGATTGACAGGTAAGTAGGCGGCGCTTCTCTATTGTTGATTGACAGGTAAGTAGGCGGCGCTTCTCTATTGTTGATTGACAGGTAAGTAGGCGGCGCTTCTCTATTGTTGATTGACAGGTAAGTAGGCGGCGCTTCTCTATTGTTGATTGACAGGTAAGTAGGCGGCGCTTCTCTATTGTTGATTGACAGGTAAGTAGGCGGCGCTTCTCTATTGTTGATTGACAGGTAAGTAGGCGGCGCTTCTCTATTGTTGATTGACAGGTAAGTAGGCGGCGCTTCTCTATTGTTGATTGACAGGTAAGTAGGCGGCGCTTCTCTATTGTTGATTGACAGGTAAGTAGGCGGCGCTTCTCTATTGTTGATTGACAGGTAAGTAGGCGGCGCTTCTCTATTGTTGATTGACAGGTAAGTAGGCGGCGCTTCTCTATTGTTGATTGACAGGTAAGTAGGCGGCGCTTCTCTATTGTTGATTGACAGGTAAGTAGGCGGCGCTTCTCTATTGTTGATTGACAGGTAAGTAGGCGGCGCTTCTCTATTGTTGATTGACAGGTAAGTAGGCGGCGCTTCTCTATTGTTGATTGACAGGTAAGTAGGCGGCGCTTCTCTATTGTTGATTGACAGGTAAGTAGGCGGCGCTTCTCTATTGTTGATTGACAGGTAAGTAGGCGGCGCTTCTCTATTGTTGATTGACAGGTAAGTAGGCGGCGCTTCTCTATTGTTGATTGACAGGTAAGTAGGCGGCGCTTCTCTATTGTTGATTGACAGGTAAGTAGGCGGCGCTTCTCTATTGTTGATTGACAGGTAAGTAGGCGGCGCTTCTCTATTGTTGATTGACAGGTAAGTAGGCGGCGCTTCTCTATTGTTGATTGACAGGTAAGTAGGCGGCGCTTCTCTATTGTTGATTGACAGGTAAGTAGGCGGCGCTTCTCTATTGTTGATTGACAGGTAAGTAGGCGGCGCTTCTCTATTGTTGATTGACAGGTAAGTAGGCGGCGCTTCTCTATTGTTGATTGACAGGTAAGTAGGCGGCGCTTCTCTATTGTTGATTGACAGGTAAGTAGGCGGCGCTTCTCTATTGTTGATTGACAGGTAAGTAGGCGGCGCTTCTCTATTGTTGATTGACAGGTAAGTAGGCGGCGCTTCTCTATTGTTGATTGACAGGTAAGTAGGCGGCGCTTCTCTATTGTTGATTGACAGGTAAGTAGGCGGCGCTTCTCTATTGTTGATTGACAGGTAAGTAGGCGGCGCTTCTCTATTGTTGATTGACAGGTAAGTAGGCGGCGCTTCTCTATTGTTGATTGACAGGTAAGTAGGCGGCGCTTCTCTATTGTTGATTGACAGGTAAGTAGGCGGCGCTTCTCTATTGTTGATTGACAGGTAAGTAGGCGGCGCTTCTCTATTGTTGATTGACAGGTAAGTAGGCGGCGCTTCTCTATTGTTGATTGACAGGTAAGTAGGCGGCGCTTCTCTATTGTTGATTGACAGGTAAGTAGGCGGCGCTTCTCTATTGTTGATTGACAGGTAAGTAGGCGGCGCTTCTCTATTGTTGATTGACAGGTAAGTAGGCGGCGCTTCTCTATTGTTGATTGACAGGTAAGTAGGCGGCGCTTCTCTATTGTTGATTGACAGGTAAGTAGGCGGCGCTTCTCTATTGTTGATTGACAGGTAAGTAGGCGGCGCTTCTCTATTGTTGATTGACAGGTAAGTAGGCGGCGCTTCTCTATTGTTGATTGACAGGTAAGTAGGCGGCGCTTCTCTATTGTTGATTGACAGGTAAGTAGGCGGCGCTTCTCTATTGTTGATTGACAGGTAAGTAGGCGGCGCTTCTCTATTGTTGATTGACAGGTAAGTAGGCGGCGCTTCTCTATTGTTGATTGACAGGTAAGTAGGCGGCGCTTCTCTATTGTTGATTGACAGGTAAGTAGGCGGCGCTTCTCTATTGTTGATTGACAGGTAAGTAGGCGGCGCTTCTCTATTGTTGATTGACAGGTAAGTAGGCGGCGCTTCTCTATTGTTGATTGACAGGTAAGTAGGCGGCGCTTCTCTATTGTTGATTGACAGGTAAGTAGGCGGCGCTTCTCTATTGTTGATTGACAGGTAAGTAGGCGGCGCTTCTCTATTGTTGATTGACAGGTAAGTAGGCGGCGCTTCTCTATTGTTGATTGACAGGTAAGTAGGCGGCGCTTCTCTATTGTTGATTGACAGGTAAGTAGGCGGCGCTTCTCTATTGTTGATTGACAGGTAAGTAGGCGGCGCTTCTCTATTGTTGATTGACAGGTAAGTAGGCGGCGCTTCTCTATTGTTGATTGACAGGTAAGTAGGCGGCGCTTCTCTATTGTTGATTGACAGGTAAGTAGGCGGCGCTTCTCTATTGTTGATTGACAGGTAAGTAGGCGGCGCTTCTCTATTGTTGATTGACAGGTAAGTAGGCGGTGCTTCACTATTGTTGATTGAGAGGTAAGTAGGCGGTGCTTCACTATTGTTGATTGACAGGTAAGCAGGCTGTGCTTCACTATTGTTGATTGACAGGTAAGTAGGCGGTGCTTCAC